AGCCCCTCTGTCGTTCAACGGCGGGTGGCCCGGTACACCCAAAATAAACGAATAGGCCGGTACGACCAAAATTCAACAGCGGATGGGTCGTTACACCCATACACCGATCTGGAATATAGAAAGTTCCAGCCCCCCGCGTGCAGCTGGTTGGTGACTCCGAGGGCAGTGGAAACCTCCAACGCTCCTGGCAGAGATACCTGAAGGAGGGATGTAATGAAGCAGCTCTGCGCATGAAAGTCTTGAAAAACACACCCCGAACGCTCAGGTACCGGTTCGTTGCGCCCCCAGCCCAGGGGACAGCTGCGCCCCGCCGAGAGCAAACCCGAACAGGGGCAGGCATCTCCCGAATCAAAATCCCTCGCATCAGTTCACCATGGAAGGCCTAAAGCCCCGAATGGAGGAGGACGGGCGAGCGGGCAAAGAGGCCAGGTGCTTTACTTCCACGGCCGTCCGCGAGCTCACCGCCGCTATCCGCCAGCAGAGAGCGCCATCCAGGCTTCCGCTAACCATCCTTTGACCCGCCACCTCGCGGGGGTGCCTGGAAAGGGGAAACAAAGCTTCCGCCGCCTTCGGCCGACCTTCCGCCGGCCAGGCTCTTTTCTTCCGAAGCGGCAGTGAAGACACGGGGGGCAACGACGACGACGACGAGGACGACGACGACGACGACGACGACGACGACGACGACGGCGACGACGACGAGGACGACGACGGCGACGAAGACGACGACGAACGACGACAACGAGGCCGACACCGACGAAGAAGCGCCCCAAAGACCCGCCGAACGACCGACACGACAGACGACAACGAATTTCAGCGAACCTGTCCTGGGAAAGGTCGGCTTGTGGTGGGGAGAGGGAACGACCGCATGAGTGACACCGCGGTGGCACATGTGACACCGCGGCGGCACGGGCCGAACCGTCACCCGGGTGGTTGGGTTGCACAGCGACGCCGCATGATTGACACGGGAGCCTGACGGAACCGCGTGGCACGGACGACGTTGTGCGACCCTTGCAGTATTGGTGAAATGGTTGGCTTACGACGCAATAGTGTCACGGGGAGTGGTGTATTGACATTGACAGGCACAGTCAGCTGGCAGGGGATAAATCCCGTTCACGGCCCCATCGAGGAAAATGACGAAAGGGTTGATATGTGTAAAAGGTGTGGGAATGTGGAGGTACGTTTGGATCCCTCCCTACGGCCGTCTTCGGTGGCCGAGGGGCCGTAAGGAGGTCCTCGGCCCCCTCCATTGGCAACTGACGCCGTTATGTATTGGTGTATTGGTGGGAGAGGGCGACCCAAGCGGCCCCTATGATGGCAGCCGCAAGGAGTGTGAGGCCTATGATGGTCCTCACTGGTGATTCCTATGATGGTCCTCACTGGTGAAGCCTCACGGGTGGGAGGAGGAGGAGTAGGCGGATAACGAGGAGGAGAAGGAGGAGGAAGAGGAGGATAAGGAGAAGGAGGAGGAGGAATACGGGCGTCACAAGAGCCTCCTCGGATGTCTCTTGGGTGTTTGTTCGAGGCATCTTGGAACGTCTGGGGGGCATCTTGGGTGCCTCGGGGATCCTCTTGAAGCCTCTTGGGGACCTCTTGAGAGCCTCTTGGAGGCATGTTGGGCGCCTCTTGGGGCCCTCTCGGGGCGCTCTTGGGTGCCTTGGGAGCGCTCTTGGGGCTATTTTGGGGGAGATTTATCAAAGAAGAGGGGTTACACAATTAGCCTCGCCATTCTGGAGTGCCTAAAATCGCCTCTTGGGCATCTCTTGGGGCGCGCTCTTGGGCCGTCTTGGGGCTCTCTTGAGCCCCCCTTGGGGCCCTATTCGGCCCTCTTGGAGCCATCTTGAGGCTTCGGAAGGCCATCGAGAACAAAATGGCGAGAGGGCAAGCGTCATTGATTTTCCTTTGGTTTGGGAAGGACTTTGGCCTCTTTCCGGTCTCCTTGGGGAGCTCTTTGGCCACTTGGAGCCGTCTTGGAGCGGTCTCGGGGCCTCTTGGGGCATCTTTGGAGCCATCTTGAGGCATCTTGGGATGTCTTGCGCCATCTTGGAGCTCACTTTGGGCTCTCCGAGGCGCTCTTGGAGCCATCTTGTGTTATCTTGGACGCTCCAACGTTTCGGGGGACCCCTCGTCCAGGTCCAGGGGAGGGGGCATGGGGAGGGGTCAAGCTTCCCACCTGCCCGCAAGCCGTCTTGCTCACTCCCACCCGCCCTCCCAACACATACGTAACACCCGGGATTCAGCATATCGCGTAAGAACGCCGCAGACGCCACGGGTTCCAGATGCACCAGACCCTGGAGGCCCAAGCGTGTCAGGCGCGCCAGGTGCGGGACGTGCTTCGCGTGCGCCCAGTGTTCCACGTGCTCCAGCCGCGCCAGGTGCGCCAGCCACTGGGAACCAATAGAGGCTCTTGGGCCCGGCTTTGAGCTTTCTTATCCCACCAGCCCTCTGGGCGTCGGTGGTTTAGAGCGTTTCCTCTTCCACCCCTCCTTCTTCCCCTTCGGGGAGGGGTTTACCCCTCCCCCTACCCCCTCCCCACTGACCTGGACAGGGGGGGCCGCGACGCGTTGGAGCGTCCAAGATGAGCCAAGACGACTCCAAGAGGGCCTCAGGGAGCCCAAGATCGCCTCCAAGATGGTTCAAGATAGCGCAAGATGCCTCAAGATGGTTCCGAAGATGCTCCAAGACGCTCCAAGACCGCCCCAAGACGGCTCTAAGTGTCCACTAGAGCTCCCCTCGGATGCCCCCAAGAAGCCAAAATGTTTCAAAACCCTAGGGAAAATCAATGTTTTTGGCGTTCTCGCGCTTTCGCTTCCGATGCCCACCCGAGGCGTCAAGATAGCTCCAAGATGGCTCAAGATAGCTCCAAGAAGGGCCCAAGAAAGCCCGAAGACGGCGCAAAGAGCGCCCAAGAGCGCTCCAAGAGCCCTCCAAGAGCGGTTCAGGAGGCGATTTTAGAGGCTTTCCAGGAGCGACGCTAATTAGTGCTTCCGCTTTCTTTGACAGATCCCCTCAGGATGGCCCCAAGATGGCCCCAAGAGGCCCCCCAAGAGGCCCCCAGGAGGCCCCCAAGAGACCCCCAAGAGGCCCCAAGAGACCCCCCAGAGGCACCCAAGGGGCAAAGATGGCCCCAAGAAGCGCCCAGGAGGCCCCCAAAGGCCCCAAGATGGCCCCAAGAGGCCCCAAGAGGCCCCCAGGAGGCCCCAAAGAGGATCCCGAACGGCCCACAGAGGCCCCCCCGAGGCACCCAAGACGCCGAAAAGCCCCTCAGGACGACCCTCTACTCGCCTGGGCGTCGTTTCTGGACGGGCTGGTGGGGATACGCGAAGCGTCTAGATTTTCAAGCCATGTGGAGGCTTCGAAGTCCCATCGAAAGCGGTAAGGCGAAAAGGCAGCAGCCACTGATGCGTCAAACCAGTCGGTCGACCACCTGCGCCCGGAAGGCTGGTGGGATCTGCTTGCACCCCAGCCGTCCTTTTAAAATACCAATACAAAATGGTCGCGGGGCGATGCTCCAAATGCGGAGGCAGAGTGCGTTTTGTATTGTTTTTGACAGGGATGGTGCGGGGGCTGGCCCTCATGGGGTTGGCATGGTTCCGGGTTGGCCGCCGGCCGGGTGGGGGAGGGGGTGTATTTTAATAGGGAACAGTGGTAAACCCCTCCCCGAAGGGGAAGAGGGGCAGATTGAAGACAAAACACCCTAGACCACCTACGCCCTCAAGGGCTGGTAGGATATATCTTCATTGCTGGAAGTGGCCCACTAGGAGACAACCGTTTGAGAAATTTCAATCGTGCAAGGCCGTAAGTCCTGGGACTTCAACGCCGCGGATCAATGTGACTGTTGCGTTCTGGCAATGGCAATCCTGAATCGTGCCAGAACACCATTTTGGGGACTTTACCGCCACGCATCAATGTGACGGTTGCTTCCTGAAACTATTAAATCGTGCCAGACCACCATTCCCTGGATTCCAACCATACGAACCGAAGAAGAACGTGCGCGGCGCTGAGGCGAGAGCCACATGTTTAAGAAGAACTGCCATCCATCCTTGAAGCTGTTGCGAACTTTTGATATGTGCGGCGCTAAGGCAAGAGCCACATTTTGAAAACCAGTCGCCCTCCATCCATGAAGCTTCTGCATTGTCCCAAGTTTCAGGATCACGAAAGTGAGGAATTCTCAGGTGAAACACTCAGCCCAACCTACCAACACGTCTGGGGGTACGAATGGGAGAATCGATATTACCTGCTATTGGGAAAGGGGGTGATGGAGGAGAGGAGGAGGAGGAGGAAAGTGACAATCAGAGGCATTATGTGTCTTGTCCGTTGCTGTGGGGTGACGTCCAATCCGTCTGGGTCCCGTCTGCTCCGTGTGAGGTCTTCCTTGATCGCCGATTGGGGATCGCCCGAGCCATGACGAGTGAGGAGAGATTATTTTTTGTGTGCAGCGTCTTGTCAGAACTTTGTATATGTACAATTCGATTCGGAGACAGGCCGATGTTGACCCGAAGTTGATTGCGCAGCATGCCCGAGCTGCCAGAGCGCAGGTCTTACAGCGGCAGGACGATCGCGCGAGCTACTCGACCACGAACTTCATCCGAGCTACGTGCGAAAAGGAAAAGGAGGAGGAGGAGGAGGAGAAGGAGGAGGAGGAGGAGAAGGATGGAGGGCGGAGGAGGAGGAGGAGGAAAAGGAGGAGGAGGAGGAGGAGGGGGGGGAGGGCGGAGAATGGAGGAGGAGGAGGAGGAGGAGAGGAGAGGGAGGAGGGGAGGAGGAGGAGGAGGAGGAGGAGGGAGGAGGAGGAGGAGGAGGAGAAATTGGAGGAGGTGGAGGAGGAGGAGGAGGAGGAGGAAGAAGACAAGGAGGAGGGGGCGGAGGGGGAGGAGGAGGAAGGAGGAGGAGGAGGCGGAGGAGGACGACGACCACGACGACGAGGAGGCGCAGGAAGATGAGGGCGAAGACGACGACGACCTCTTCTCTCCTTTCCTTTGTCCTGCTCCCCGCGTGCAGAGGGGATGGGCGCATCCTACACGCTGCTGGGCGTGGTGGTGCTGCTGGCGGCGCTGCTCTTCCACAACCGCCTGGACGTGGCGCAGCGGGTGCACGAGGCCCCTGGCTGCGGCATGCAGCTTGGGGGTGGTTCGGGAAGTCACCATTGGGGGGTTCACCACTGGGGGAGTCCTTACTGGAGGGGTCAGTCTGACGGCGCTAAAGGGGGGGACCACTGGGGGGTCACCAGCTCCCCCCAGAAGTCGAGGTTCCAGGATGGAAGCTCGAGGATGTTTTTGGACGTTTGGGGTCCTTCCGGATTGCTCTGGAGTGTTCTTGGGGGCCCGCTTCTTCCTCGAGGAAATTGCGTTTCCTCCACGGACTTCCGGCTGATCCAATTTTTTCGATGCGTGTGCCTTGGAGGTCCAGACCACTTCCCCGGGACCGGCTTTTCGTCCTGAGTGAGCGGTTCTTTTGACGCCCCGGAGGCCCGGCGAGGGCCCCAAGAGGCCGAAAACGGCAAAAATCCAGCCGCTCCAATTTTTCTGGAGCGTCGGATTTCAAGGTCGAGGAAGTCGCGACCGGCTCAGTGGTGACCCCCGTTTGCTCTGCCCCAGCGACTCGCCCAGGAAGAGGAGCGAGGTTCGATCGGCGGCGCGCCGAGGGAGAGAGTTTCGCGGTTTCGGGTTCGAGGTCGGAGGCTTTCCCGCGGCTTCGTTGGTTCTCGTCGGAATGTCAGCCTCAGGGTGCGCTCCAGCGGCTGCGCCTCGCCGAGAGGCGTTCCGGGGGTGCCCGGATGCTCCCGAACGGCCGTCGGAGGCCCGAGCTCTGACCCGAAAGCCAGGCCACGATGAGCATCGAGGGCGCAGGCCTGCTCAGAAGGCGGCGGGGCTTCTCAGAAGCCCTCGGGCCTTCGGGGGAGCCCCCCTTCCGTGGCTTCGGAGAGAGCTCGGGAAGGCCAGAGGCCTCCTGAGCCCTCTGCGAAGGCCCGCCCCCTCTGCCTTCCCCGAGCCGCCGGTTCGAGGATGGGGGTTCCAGGCCTCGGTATGTGCTTTTCCCTTTGGGGGCCTCCGCGGGGCTTCTCGTCGCAACGCTTGGATCCGTCTCGGATGCGGTGGAGAATTGTTTTCCTTTTTTGTTTGTTCGTGTGTGATTGCAGTTTTCCTTCGATTGCGTGCCCCACGGCCGTCAGCAATTCATCCGTGGTGAACAACTGACCATGGTGAGCCCCAGGAGGGGTCTTGGGACCGATTTTGAACGGATTCTGGTCAAAGGGGGAAGGGATGGATGGAGGGGGGGGGGGGGAGGAGGAGGAGGAGGAGGAGGAGGAGGAGGAGGAGGAGGAGGAGGAGGAGGAGGAGGAGGAGGAGGAGGAGAGGAGGAGGAGTAGGAGGAGGAGGAGGGATGGGGGAGGAGGAAGAGGAGGAGGAGGAGGAGGAGGAGGAGGACCAGAGTAAACCCGAGATGTATCAACGAGTCTGCACTACATCCTCTTGTTCCCAGTTACCTCCTCATTGGCCTTCGCAAGAATTCAGGGACCACTGCGCGGGGCGCCCCCGTTGAAAGATGAACGCCCTGTGGGCCCGCAGGTCAGGCGGGGGTTCCATTTTGAAACCAGCTGCCCTCCATCAGTCGAGCTACAACGAATGCAACAAGGCGGGACCAGAAAGTCCAAGGAATTGCCCAGCGACAGCCTTGCTTTGAAAGGCACCGCCCACCATCCGTCGAACTGAAGCCTCGGTGGAGAGCCCACCGTGTAACTGTTTCAAGTATTCGTGCGGACACATGTTGAGGAACTTGCAGTCGAGAACCTCATGCTGAAAGTGAACCGCCCTCCATCCCTGTAGCTGTTGAATTTGTTTAGGACCAGGGTGGCCGGCGCCAAGGCGAGAACCCTGTTTTGAACAACGGGCTGCCCTCCATCTGCGTCACCGTTGGAAATTTCAATCTTCAATATCGTGATCGCTGAGGATGTCCCAGGTGAAACGCCCGGCCGCCATAATGGCACGCTTCGTGGTGCGACACGGAGGAGATTGTTCCGAAAGAGGATGGCGGAGGAGAGGGGGGAGGGACAAGCTAGGTGCGCCTGCGTTATATCTGACGTCTTTCCCCTCCCTTCCATCCCTAACATGGCGTAGATCTCTTATTATTCGCACAATCAGATATCGCAACATGGCATAGCATTACATGGCATAGCATGGTGCTGAAGATCAACGCGCAGCATGACATAGCTTGACGTGGCGAGGCCCCAAAGTGGGGGGGGCTTCTGCGGCCCAAAACATCAACGAATCGACACCGAATGTGTAATCACTTCCGATGCTTTTTCTGTATTTCTAGATTTGGAGTCTATTTGGAAGGACCGAAAACCATGCCGTAGCAGTGACGGCAGCGCTGCACGCCAGTGCTGCAGTGGGAAATACTGACGCCAGTGCTGGAGTGGGAGCACGGTTCGGGACGAGCGGAAGCACGGATATGAGGCCAGCGTTGCAGCGGGAGCACGATTCGGAACGAGCGGTAGCCCGAAAGTGATCCAGCGCTTCAGCGAGAGCAGCACTTTGAGAAAAAAGCAGTGCGGAAACGCGGAAATGAGGACGCGTAGCCTGACATAGCATGGCGTGGCGACGCCCCAAAACGGTGGGGGGGCTTCTGCGGCCCCAACAATCAACGAATCGACACCGGATGTGTAATCACTTCCGATGTTTTTTTCGGGGTGGGGGCCTTTTTTTCATTTTGGGGGAAGGACCGAAAACCATGCCGTGGCATGGCGCTGGAAATAATGACGTCAGCGCTGGAGTGGGAGCACGGTTCGGGACGAGCGGAAGCGCGGATATGAGGCCAGCGTTGCAGCGCGAGCACGATTCGGAATGAGCGGTAGCCCGAAAATGAGGCCAGCGCTTCAGCGAGAGCAGCATTTAGGAAAACCCAGCGAAAACCTAACTCCCGGGAGTTTCCCGGACGCCACCAGGGGATATAATAGAGTAGTTGTTATATTGTGTCACTGTTGAGAACCATACTAGACCCCACAAATGTATCAGCGATGGTGCAGTCCACCCTCCCGTCTCACGTCCTTTCCTTCTAGGCAAGGTTGAATAGTACGCGCCGCACGTGCTAGCGCTCGCTGCTGATGGGATCGCCTACCAGCCCGTCGTCTGGACGACGTGGGGCCGCCCGCACGAGGACGCGTCGGCCGCGGTCGCGTCCATGGCGGCCGCGGCAGGGAGGCGCTTGGGCGTGCCCTCCCACGCGCTCGCCACGTGGGCTCGCACCGTCATCGGTACTGCGATCTGGCGGCGGGCGGCGCGCATGGTCGATGCGTGCGGCCCGCGTTTCGCCCGAGAGGATATCAGCGCCCTCGTGCTGCGGGCCGGAGCTGGCCGTGTATGCGGCGCCGACGACGCCGCCTCCAACGTGGATCCGCCGATGGAGCCGCCTCCCGCGGTGCTTTCCGATTCCTCCTCGACCGCCCCCTCCTGCCCGGCGTCGCCCGTTTGCCCTGCCCGCCTGTGCCCCGCCCTTGACTTGACTGTTTTGGGGGGAGTGGCGGAGCTGGTCGCGGGTGCGACGTTGGCGGCGCCGCTGGCCGGCGCGGCGGCTGAAGCGGGCGCGGCGGCCAGCCCCGAGGCCGCGGGCAGCGTCGTCGGCTTGGCGCTGGAACTCGAGGGGATCGCTGGCGCGCCTGGCCCTGGCTCCAGAGGGCCCGAGCTGGTAGGAAACCCCTCTGCCCTGCGTCTGCCCAAGGCGGGCCCAGCGGCTGGCGGCGAGGCCGAGGGCGACGTCGCTGGCCTCGCGGCGGCGCCCGCGGCTCGCTGACGCGAGCGTCGGCGCTGAGTCCGGCCTGGGCGCAGGCGCGGCCTCTGCCGAGCTCGCGCACCCGGGTCGCGGCCCCGCGGCTCGTGTGCGGGCGTGGCTCGCCGCGAGAGCCGTCGTGGGCGGGCCGATGGTCCCCGCGCGGAGCGGTGCGGATCGCGCGTCTACAAACATCCTTTGAAAGACGAGCGCCCCGTGGGCTTGAACTTCAGGTGGAGGTTCCGTGCTGAGTGAAAGTGCCTCCATCATTCGAGCAGTATGTAAGGTGGTCGACAAGGTGGGGGCGTAAAGTTCAAGGAAGCGCCCAGCGGCGGCCTCGCTGTGCGAAAATGCCGACCGTCATCCGTGCAACTGTTGCGCAACGTTGAGCTTTCGTTCGTATACGCAGACGAAATCGCAAGCCAGAGCCCCAATTTGAAAAGGAACTGCATTGCATCAGTGTAACTTGTCACCCCAACGTTACATATGTGGTAACATGTCGTGAGGAAGTCTCATGCGTGAAGCTCGTGTTGACAAGGAACGGCCCCCCTATCCGTGTTTTTGCATCTTTCGAGCGATTGTGGGCGGCGCCACCGCGAGAGCCTCGTTCTGAAAAACGGTTCGCTTTCCATTTTTGCGACTACGGAGGAAGCTCATGACGAAACTGATCGGCGCAGAGGCGAGAGTTCCATTTCGAAAAAGCAGCCGCCCTCCAAACATACGTGTAACTGGTGCAAACGTTTAAGGCGAACGTGCACGGCGTTATGGCGAGAGCCCCATTCTGAAAATGTCCGTCATCCATTCACGAAGCCCATCCAAGTTTTAAGGACGACCGTAAGCTTCGCCAAGGCGAGGGTCCCATTTGAAAAGTATCCACCCTTCATCCTTTTAGCTGTCGGTTTGCCAAGCTTCCTGGCAACACGTGTTAAACTATGTATAAGTATCGGGCGAAACGCTGGGACGTCCACCCAAGCAACACATCTAGTGGTGCGACAGGAACAACTCTTCCACAAGAAATGTTAGCCAGCGTGGAGCACACATAGTTCGTTTTTGCTCTGTGGATGTGCAAGCTATGTGGTGCAAGCTGTGTGGTGCAAGCTATGAAGTGCAACCTGCGTGGTGCAACCAGCGTGGTGCAGGATATGTGGTGCAAGCTGTGTGGTGCAAACTATGTGGTGTAAACCAGCTGCTGCTACGTACGTGGTGCAAGCAATGTGGTGGAACGCTATGCGGTACAAGCTGCGTGGTGCAATCTACGTGGTGCATGTTATTTGGTATAAGCTCGGTTGTGCAAGCGATGTGGTGCAAGCTACGCGGTGCACGCTAGGCTGTGCAACTTACTTGGTGCAGTCGACGTGGTGTAAGCTATGTGGTGTGAGCAATGCGGTGCAGGCTACATGGCGCACGCTATGTTGTGAAATGTTTGTGGTGCAATCTGCGTGGTGCGGTGCCCACGAGGCGCCCACGAGCGGGCACCAGGCGAAACCGCGGCATGCTCCCCTTTCGCGAGGCGTCCACGGGCGGGCACGCCTCCCCCTCTTGCCTCCTGCTGCTTGCCTGCTGTCTCCGCCCGGCCCCCCTTCCGCCTGCCCGCCCGGCCGGCCAGCCCCCGGCCTCCCATCCTCTTCCCTCTCCGCCGGGCAGCACAGCCTGCCGGGGGCCAGCGTGGCGGCGCGTACCAGACTGGGTGGTCCAATGCAGGACGGGTCGTGGCGCCCGCGGCGAGGGCGCGCGACCTGGCCACCTGGGTGACAATGGTGGTGATGGTGAAGATGATGACGATGGTAAGGTTGGGGATCAGGAGGAAAGGAGGAAGAGGAGAAGGCGGAGGACGACGACGGCAAACAGCAGCAACATGACGACGAGAAAGCAGCAGACGTGCTCTCCTGCTTCTTCCCGTCTCCCTCCTCTCTCCTCCAAGCGCTCCCACTCTGCTCTGGTTGTCTTCGTGCGCCTTCATTCCTCATGGTTTCCCGTTCCCAGTGAGTCCTCAGCAAACCTTCGATTCTTTCGCACTTATTTACGCTCCTATGGTTTCACCGCGTATCCTCTGCTGGCGCCTAAGCGCGCGAAGCGCGCGCGTGATTCTAGCTTCCACGGCGATTATACTTTTACGACCGATTCGAAGATTCCCGGCCCGATCGGTTCGACGACGGACCCGCAGGCCACCGCCGCGTACATAGTTAGTGAGCATGCGGCAAGACCTCCACCTCACTCCTTCCTTCCATCGTTGTTCTATCATGTCAGAGTATGAAATCTCCTCCCCCTCCCTTACCTCTTGCAACCATCATCGGCGGCGCCCAGGGGTGCCAGGGCTTCCGCCCGCGCACGGCTTACCGCGCAGCGCCTGCGGCTTCGGAAACGCTGCGTCAGTCAATCAGGAGGAGGAGGAGGAGGAGGAAGAGGAGGAGGAACAGGAAGAGGCAGTGGGGGAGAAAGAGGAGGAGGAGGAGGAGGAGGAGGAATAGTGGCAACAGCGTGAAACGCCAAGCGCGAAACCCGAAAGCATAGCGCTGGCCAGGCCTTCCCGGGCGAGCCCAGTGAGCTCCGGCCAGTGGTGTGGGCCAACGCGCTGCAGAGGCTGGGCGGTTCTTGCGGACTTCAGTGAAGCCTCCTTTTCCCTCCTCCCTCCCTCCCCCGCGGAGGAGGAGAGGAGTAGGAGGAGGAGAAGGAGGAGGAAGAGGGTCGGTCCATCCGTCCGTCGCGGACCGCGAGCTTAACCAGCCGAGGAGGAAAAGCAGGATGAGCAGGATGAAGAGGAGAAATCTCCTCTTCGAGCTCTGGTCCCGTCGCTTGCTTCTCGCTCCCAGTTTCCGTTCGATGTGCGCTCCTTCGCATTTTGTTTTGCAGGTCCTTCTGCCCTCTTCCTGGCCACCGCCCCCCTTCCGCCATCCCTACCCCATCCCATCCCAGTGTGTCAGCCTGCCCCTTTCCCCCCGCCACGTCCCCCCCCTTTGTCCCCCGTGCGCACCCCCAGGCCCCCATCCCTTCCGCTCCCTCCGCCACCCACCCATCTCCACCTGCCCCCCTGCCCCTCCCCCCCCTCCAGCTCCGGACCTTCCCCTTGTCTGGCAGGCCCACGAAGCAGGGGCCCGCATCCATGGTACGCACGCAGGGGCCGCAGCTTGCCAGGATCATCGGCGCGGCCCCGAACGCCCGTATACCTGCCCACATACCTCCTGGCTCGCCCGAGGTGCTCGACCGCAACGCCGCGGCCTCGGCACCCGCCCCACTTTGGAACTTTGGGCCAGCTAGGACTGGGCGCGTCAGACAACGTCCGGTGCTGCTCGCTTGCAGCGGCGGCCGCTGTGGCCGTCACAGGCACTCGTGCCCCCTGCCCCAGACATGCTCGCGTCGTGAAGCAAAGTCACGATGGGAGGTTTTGGCCGTTTCGGGGCTCTGGGGGGGGGGGCCCGGGACCGTCCACAGAACGACCCGGGATGAGAATTTCCTTTCCGGGAGAAAGGGTTGGGGCTCCCGGGAGCGCATGTGTGGGGCGTGGGGCCCCTTCTCCCTGCCCCTCCCCGCCACCTCCGATCCTTCCCCGTGTCCCCCGCTGCCCCCCGTGCCCCCCTCGGCGTGTTTCGCCCTCGGCGGAAGGCCAGAGGAGGCTGGCGGAGGCAGAACGGCTGCGCGCCCGCCGGCGGTCTTCGAAGCAGCTCGGCGGAAGGCGGCGGAAGCCACCCGGACGTGGCCCCTGGCCAAACAGCAGGCGCAGGCACGCGCGCCCCGCCGCACGTGGCTTGGCCGGCGTCTTGCTCGCGCCTCGCTCCCTCGGCTGCACTCGAGGAGTGACCCCTCGCCAGGGGGACCTCCGGTGCGCGGCTCTCTGGGGCCGCGGGGGCCAAGCCCAAGCACGCGGGCCGCTGCCTGGTCGAACCGCTCGCAGCCATCGGCGAGCCGCGCACCAGCGGCCGCTCTTGCCCTGGGGCCACTCTTGCGCGCAGCTGGCTCCCGCCCGTCGGCAGCCTCAGGCTCGGGCGGCCGAAGCGCCCGCTCCTCCGGGAGCAGCTTTTCGATCCACTTGGCTTGGTCCCAAAACCCGAAAACGACCCATGAGGGCCGAGATCTAAGAAAAGCACCAGGGACTTGAACAAATCATCTCTTCGGAGGTCTGGGTCTCGCCTGCTGTCGCTCCCTCCACCCGCCTTCATTCGGTAACAACCTATGGAAACCTTGAGTGTCCTCGCAATTCTGTCTTCAGAACATATCAGGGTAGGCTAGCCTCTGGTAGTCTATATTAGACGGCGCCGGTTTAACGTCGATTTACCGCCGATTAGCTATTGATCGTCGAGGAGCGTCGACTAGCATTGGTCAGCGTCGACTTGCAAGAGCCAGCAAGATAACATGGGAGGCTCTCTCGGGTTGCCACAGAACCTTCAGTGCCCAGGCTCGGGCAACCAGGGCAGAATGGGGGAGGAGGAGAAGGAGGGGGAGGGGAAGGAGGGGAAGGAGGGGAAGAAGGAGGAGGAGGAGGAGGAGGAGGAGGAGGAGGAGGGGGAGGGGGAGGAGGAGGAGAAGGAGGAGGAGAAGGAGGAGGAGGAGGAGGAGGAGGAGGAGGGGAAGGAGGAGGGGAAGGAGGAGGGTGCCCAGGCTCGGGCAACCAGGGCGCCTGCTGCTACGCGGCGGACTGGAAGAAGCTCGGCGCGATCTTCTGCGGCGCGGGCGTGGGCGTCGGTCCGGACGCCATCCCGATGCTGGGCCATTGCACCGCCTACATTCAGGGCCGCACTGAGTGCCCGGGGCCGCTGCGGGAACCACAGGGGCGAGCTCAGAGGAGGGAGAGAACGATCGCTGCTCGTCCTCGAGAGCCTTCGTCGAAACGACCGTTCCATTTTTTTCAATCCGGCCATGTTTGCCCAGTGTCGGGGCCTTCGGCCATCACAGATCGATCCGGCTCGAAAAATGCAGCAGAAAGCACCCCAGAAGAGGTCTGGGGAGTGGCGGTGTCGGCACCGCTTCGCCCCCCGGAGAGCGAGCAGCATTGGTAAGGCTTCGGGTTGCGCACAGACAGCCCCCCCAGGTCCCAGGTAGTGCCAGCTGGCCTCAGCAGGCCCCCACAAGCAGTCCAGGGCGGTCTCAACACCTCGGCGCCGCCTCTGGCGGCGCCCCTGGGGCGCTCTGCGCCCTAGGGTTGGGGTGTTGAGGCCGCCCTGGACTACTCGCGGGGGCCTGCTGAGGCCAGCTGGGACTACCTGGGTCGTCTCCCCGAGAGCGGGGGAGAGCGAGCGGCATCGAGCAGCGCAGGCGGCGGAAGCGTGAGCACGAGGGCGCGGGGAGAGGAAGGGCTACCTGAGCGACGGAAGAAAGCGGGGTCGACTGCGCGGACGTTCGCGAGTCAGCTTCCCGTGCAAGGTCGCGCGTAAGCGACCTCCTCTCCACGACGCGGCGTGTCGCGCTGGCGGCACCCGTACGCCGCGGCGTCAGGTCGCTGTGTCATCGTGCGTCAGGCCCGCTTCTTTTCGTCGCTCACCTGCTGGCGTGTCGCGGTCCGCCCTCGCCGTGGCCCTTCCCATCCTGCCTGGCTGCCGCCTCTGTTCGGCGGCGCGCCCAGGGGGGAAGGCAGAAGGCTCATATCTCCAACGTATCGAGAAAACACGCATAGCGGAGGCTTGTCATTGTTTCCTGCGTCTGGGAGCCCTCGCTGGGCTCCAGGACCATCAAGAAGCAGTAAGGGGCGATGAAAAAAGGTTTCGCGAAGTGGTCGAGTGCCCCAGGAGTCCCGTATTGTGCAGATCAAGACGTCGAAGGTCTGGGGGTGGCCGCTGGCCTTCTGAGAAGCTTCTTACTTGGGTGTCTGAATAAGCGTGGGGGGGGCCCACCCGACGGGGGTCAACCTCGCCTCGTCGTCGCGCCGCGACGGGGGTCGGAGCGCCTTCGGCGCGCGGTGGCTGCCCGCGACGGGTGTCGATATGTGGGGCTGCCGGCGGGGGTGACGCCCCTCCCATTAAGGCACTCGGAGTGGGCCTCCTCCGAAGCCCCGCCGCCTGGTGAGAAGGGCTGCCCCCCCCCTCTCGCTTTTCCCCTCGGCACGCCGCCGATCTGCAGCGGGGCCTGCTCTGGAGGCCCACGGCGAGTCGAGCCGCCCTGGCGATGGTCGGGTTCTCAGAGCGTCAACGCTCGTCGATCGCAGGGGTTGGCGACGTCGGCGATCGGCGATCGCCGTCGAGTTTGACGATCGGCGCCTTGTCGATCGTCAAACTTGGAGCTCCGCGGTCCCCTGGCCTGGCTCCGCTGACCCTTCAATCCTCCTCCTCGATCCTCCTCGACCCTGCTCGACCCTGCTCGATCCTCCTCCTCGATCCTCGATCCTCGCTGTGAGAAGGATCCTCGACCTTCGATCTCCTAGGATTGATCGTCGATCCAGCCAGGCTTCTGGCCTCGACAAGAGGCGGAGGCAGCGCCAGTCAGGAGCTGGTGCACGGTGGTTGCCCGGCGGAGGCCAGCGAGCGCGCACGCCGCCAGCCCGCGGCACTCGAGGGGCAGGACGAGAGAACTGCGTGTTTTTGAAGCCGGGTCCGGCTTAAAAAACTGCGTGTTTTTGAAGCCACATCCGGCTTAAAGCCAGATCCGGCTTAAAGTTGGATCTGGCTTCAAAAACACACAGTTCTCTCAGTCTGGCTTAAACAGCTGCACGTTTTTTATGCTGGATCCGGCTTCAAAAACTCGCAGTTCTCTCGTGGAGGCGGCGGCCGAGCACGTGAGTCCCGTGCCGCGGCGCCAGCGATCACAGACATGCTCGCGTCGGCCCCTTGGGAGAGTGTCGGGACCTGCGGGGCCCCGCATCGAAAACAAAAAACACGGGATGTCGCATGCCTGGGAGTGCGGGCGGGCGACTTTTGCACCACGAGGTGCAGGGCCAGCGGAGGTGACGGCCGCAGAGGGGTCTGGGCGCGGCCGAGCGATGCAAGACGCCAGGCGGGGAGGCGCTGCAGACGAAGCTGTGTGCGTGTGTGTGTGTGTGTGTGTGTGTGTGTGTGTGTGTGCTTGTGTGCGTGTGTGCGTGTGTGTGTGTGTGTGTGTGTTTGTTCAGGCCACGCCTCTGTGGGAAGCCCACGAAGCACGCCCTCGATCCGCGTTTGGGCTCCCCCTCCCCCCATCCTGCACATTACGGTTGCTGCTGCTTTCCCTCCTCCCCTGCTTCCGCCTCATTTCTCGTCTGCTCCTCCCGCTTCTCTTCCTCTTCCTCCTCCTCCTCATCATCATCACCATCATCAGCACCATCACCACCATCAGTATCAGCAGTATGATCCCCAACTTCATCACCATCCTCACCATAATCATGTTCATGCTCGTCCTCGCCATCATCATCATCATCATCATCATCATCATCATCATCATCATCATCAGCATCATCATCATCATCATCAGCATCATCGACATCATCAGTATCATCATCATCACCATAACCATCGTTGTCATCATCAGCATCACCAGCACCAGCATCATCAGCATCATCATCAGCATCATCATAGCTCTGCCGTGTTGGTCAGGCCCGTCTAGCAGCGCGGCAGCAGTCTCTCTTGCGAGAGCAGGTGGGACAATCGGGCGGGCCAACACTTTCAAATGCTGATGTCTTAGTCTTGAGGAACAAGAGACCGCTCACGTCATATCACCCATTTGTAAACGTGTCCGCTTCTACTCCGCGTATCTCGTCTCGGACGAGGTGCGCGTGATCAGTAAAAACAGCGACGGCGAACAATACCTCTGGGAGTCCAGTGCTGGCGGTTCCTTCACGGTGCAGAAGACGCGGAAATCGTGCACGGGGAGATTAAGCGCGGCACAAAAGACCATTTGTTCTCTGAAGGAGGATCAGGCGGAGTTCCGCGAGGAGCGCCGCCCGAAGGATCTGGTTAAGAAGCACTCGGAGTTAATCTGGTTCCCCATTGAGCTGTACGAGGAGAAGCCAAAGGAAAAGAAGGTGACGGACTCCGAGGACGAGGAGGAGGAGGAGAAGAATAACGAGGAGAATGAAGGCCACGAGCCGATTATCGAGGAGGTCGATGACGAGCAAGAGAGGGATGATAATCAAACTAATAATGGTAACAATATGACGAATCGCAAAATCATAGCAGTTACAACAATACAAACAAAGCCAAATCTATTCCTATTTATATATTTTTACAGGGCCGGGGACCCCGGAAAAGCGGCACACGGTGCCCCCCCCCCCCCCCAAACGAATTTCGGCCTCCCCGAGCCTCTGGGGCGCTCCTGCAGAGTGCTTCCGTGGATCTCCGGTCCTCCTGGACCCCCCAGGCAGGTCTGTCTTGCGAGTCCGACGCGAAAAAAGAAGCCCCCACGACGGCCAAAGAGGGCCCCAAGACACCCAAAGATCGGCCCAAGACGCCCAATATGGGCCCAAGACTGCCCAAGAGGCCTCCAAGACGCCCCAAGAGACCCCCAAGAGGCCTCCCAAGAGAGCCCCGAGAGGCTAAAATGGTTGATTTTCCTATGTGTTTTTCGATGTTTTTTGGCCTTCTCGCTTTTTCCGCTTCCCCACGCTCCAACAGGGCCCAAGAGGCTCCCTAGATCGCCCCAGTACTGCCCAAGAGGCCCCCAAGAAGGCCCCAACACGGTCCAGGAGGGCTCCAAGACCGCCCAAGAGGCGCCCAAGGCGGCCCAAGAGAGCACCAAGACGGCCCCAAGAGAGGCCCAAGAGGGCGCCCAAAAATTCAAAACTTAAGTTTTCCGCCGCGAAGCGGGCCCCGAGAGGCCCCAAGAGGGCCCCATGAGGCCCCAAGAGGCTCCCCAGAGGCCCCAAGGAGCCCCCAAGAGGCCCCCAAGAGGCCCCAAAAAGATCCCAAGAGGCCCACAAACAGCCCCCAAGAGGCTTCAAAACTGCCTCCCAGAGGCCCCCGAGAGGCGTACCACGAGATCCCAACACAGCGGTCTCCCCCTCTCATTATCCCTTCTCTTTGTCGTCGCCTTCTTCGTCGTCGTCGTTGTCGTCGTCCCCATCCTCTTCCTCGTCTTCATCCTCCTCCTCCTCCTCCTCCTCCTTCTCCTCATCCTCTTCAGCTCTTCCGGTTCAGCTCAATCGGCACAGGACTGAGGAGGAGAAACAGGAGGAGAAGCAGGAGGAAGGGGGGAAAAGAAACGGGCACAGAAGAATACGAGGACAAATAGAACGAGGAGCAGATAAAGGAGCGCGGAGGAGAAGTAACGATTACCACCCAGCTAGCAAACGAAGCAAGGGGAAAAGGATGAGGAAGAAGCAGTAGTCGAACCCGCTTCGCTTTGGATTTCCTCGCAACTCCGACTGCGGAAGTGCATTGCTCCATAGTGTTCCCGCTTTCTTCGCCTGAGACATTCTTGCAGACCTTCCGAGATGCGCATGTGCATGCGCGCCCAGGGTTGCGCAAACGATTTGCGTATACGTGTACATACCCTTGCACGCGTACGTTCATATTCACAAATGCAACGTGTACGTATGGGCGCAGATGCGCGCGCATGTACGCACGCACGCACTCCGCTAGCTTGCGAAACTCAAGGACCAAGGTGCGTGGCGCGCAGCGCCAGTGCAGTCTTGTATATATATATATATATATCCCACGATTGGGAGCAGTTCAACAAGAACCAGCCGCTTTGGACGCGCGATTCCGAGTGCGTGGCCCACAAGGAGGACGCCTCGTTCTACAAATCCCTGTCCGACGACTGATGGGCCCACCTGGCTGTGGAGCACTTCTGGCATGGAGGGCTAACTGGGGTTCCGCGCGCTGCTCTTCGCACTGCGCCGGGCACCCTTCGACCTGTTCGAGTCATAGACGAAACGCAACAACAGCAAACTGCACGTGCGACGCGTTTTCATCATGGACGATTGCGACGAGCTGGTACCCGAGTGGCTCGACTTCCTGAGGGGAGCGGTTGGCTCCAAGGACCTGCCGCTGAACATTCCCCATGAGACGCTGCAGCAGAAGAAGATCCTGCGCGTGAAAAAAAACAAACTTGTCAAGAAATGCCTCGAGTTACGCATGCTGCAAAGGAAAATACTGTCTGTGCCGAGCACAAGGCATGGCCAAGTGGATTGCGCGCGTCGACGTCGATTGATATTTTGATTTCGAGTGTCTAGGCGTCATTATGCGTATCATCAATTTCCTAGGTCGGATTGCCGCGACGTTCCGCTTGTGTTGAGGAGCCAGTTATGGGGATTAGTTGCCCACGTCTCACCGTGCGAACGCACTCTCCCCATGCCGCACCAACGCGAAAAACATAGCACGCTCATAATTTCAATTCTAGACGCTTCGCGTATCCCCACCAGCCCGTCCAGAAATGAGTCCCAGGGGAGTGGAGGTTATGAGGGAAGCGGGGGAGCATGCAGAAGAACAGAGGGCGGGGTGAGCCGCCATATACCCCAAGAGGGGGAGGATGTAGGAGGAGCCGTCGTCGTCGGAGTAGGAGGAGGAAGAGGAGGAGCAGGAGGAGGAGCAGGAGGAGGAGGAGGAGGAAGATAAGGAGGAGGAGATGGAGGACTGCGAGGACGAGGAGGACGAGAAGGAGGAAAAGGAAAAGGAGGAGGAGGAGGAGGAGGAGGAGGGGGAGGGGGAGGAGGGAGGAGGAAGAAAAAGAGGAGGAGGAGGAGGACAATGGCGAGCTTGGGGGCCTCTTGGGCCGTCTTTGGAGCCTCTTGGCGGTCCCGGGGGCCTCTTGCGTATCTCGGGGAGCCTCTTGTGGCCTCTTGGGGGTCTCTTGGGGGCCTCTTGGAGGCCTCTTGGGGGCCTCTTGGGGCCTCTTGGGGCTCTCTTGGGGCGCTCTTGGGGCGCTCTTGGGAGCCTTCGAGGCGCTCTTGGGGCCATCTTGGAGGAGATCTATCAAAGAAGGGGGGGTCCTCAATTAGCGCTGCCCCTCTAGAGTGCCTCGAATCGCTTCTTGGGCCCTTCTTGAGGCCAAAATCTTTCCAAAACCTAGGTAAAATCAATGTTTTGTGTTTTCTCGCCTTTTCGCTCTTGGAGCCGTCTTGGGCCGTCTTGGGAGCCTCTTGGGCCTCTTGGAGGTCTCTTGGGAGCCTTTTGGAGGCCTCTTGGGCGCCTCTTGGGGCCTCTTGGGGCGCTCTTGGGGCGCTCTTGGGGCGCTCTTGGGAGCCTTCGGGGCGCTCTTGGGGCCATCTTGGAGGAGATCGATCAAAGAAGAGGGGGTCCCCAATTAGCGTTGCCCCTCTAGAGTGCCTCGAGTCGCCTCTTGGGCCCCCCAAGAGGCCAAAATCCTTCCAAAACCTAAGGTAAAATCAATTGTTTTTGCTTTCTCGCCTTTTCGCTCTTGGAGCCGTCTTGGGCCATCTTGAACTCTCTTGGGGCCTCTTGGGGGTCTCTTGGCAGCCTCTTAGAGGCTTCTTGGGGGCCTCTTGGGGTCTCTCGGGGCCCTCTTGGGGCGCTCTTGGGGCGCTCTTGGGAGCCTTCGGGGCGCTCTTGGGGCCATCTTGGAGGAGATCTATCAAAGAAGGGGGGAGCTCCAATTAGGGTTGCCCCTCTAGAGTGCCTCGAAGCGCCTCTTGGGCCCCCCCAAGAGGCCAAAATCCTTCCAAAACCTAGGTAGAATCAATGTTTTGTGCTTTCTCGCTTTTTCGCTCTTGGAGCCGTCTTGAGCCATCTTGGGCGTCCCTGACACCTCGCGGGACGCCTCGTCCAGGTCAGTGGGGAGGGGTAAGGGGAGGGGTAAACCCCTCCCCGAAGGGAAAGAAGGGGGGTTGGCAGAGGAAACGCTCTAGACCACCTACGCCCTAAAGGGCTGGTGGGATTCTGCTTAGTTTAATTCGTGTACTGTCGACCTCGCATGACGTGAGCGGCGCTTCGAGGTCAGTCCTCGAGGGTCCAGAGCGCTTTCCCCCTCCTGGAATCTCTTGGCTCCATGGTGTGGTGCGTTAAGACACAAAGCTTGTTGGCCGAAGGCTTGTGGCGGCCCACTGACCCGAGGTCCAGGATATGCAACTCATTCAACCCCCACGTCATTTCCCCTGCACTTGTGCTGTCCAGGGAGCCTAAATGGGCTTAACTGAATGAGCGACTCATCATCACTATCATCATCATCATCATCACCATCATCATCATCATCATCATCATCATCATCATCATTATCATCATCATCATCACCATCGTCACCAACACCATCATCGCCACCATCGTTATCATCATCACCACCATCATCGCCACCACCATCGCCATCACCACCAGTACCACCAGCGTCGTCATTCCCGTGGTTCCGTGGTCATCGTCGTCACCAGCATTAACGAGGTGATGACCATCATCTTCGTCCTAATCATCATCACCATCATCATCACCATCGCGAGACACATGTTCGCCGTCATCCTTGCCGTCCGTAACAACATCGTCATCGATCGTCGTCGTAATTATCCTCCTTATCATCGTCATCAGCTTCGTCGTCGTCGTCAACTTCTTTCCCCCCATCACTATCTCCACCGTCACCATCGACATAATCACAACCACTTTCACTATCACCACCATGAGCGCCCTCACTTGCATGTTCCGCCTCCTTTTCCTCCTTCCCCTCCTCCCCTCCTCCTTCATGTGCCTCCTCACCCTCTTCCTCATCCTCCTCCTATTCTCTCTTCCCGCGTCGCCCGCGGCCGCGGGCCGTCGACCAGAGAGCCCGTTGTCAGGTTCCCGATCAAGTCCTTCCGGCGGGGCGGGTACGCCGGGAACCTGACGCAGCGGAGAGACGGTGTGTACCTCATCAAGGACTCTTCCGTCCTCGCACCCGCCCCCTGGTCGAGATGTCAGGAGGATGAGGGCCAGTGTAGGCCCACTACGCATCAATGATGTTGCAAGAATCCTTCCCTCAAGGTTCACCCTTCACAGCCCCATACAAGTATTTATCGCCATTGCGGAAAAGTTCCCATTGGAAGACAGCCGTCCCATAATCCCATATCGTGCAAAAGCACAGTTTTGGGAACGCTGGCGTCGCAAACCAGCGTGAGTGGCGCGTCCTGACAATCTAGAATCGTGGCTGAACGCCGTTTTCGCGAATTTAGCGCAGCGAGTCAACGTGTCCTCTGCGTCGTGACATTTCTAAGTCGTGGCAGAACGCCACCATCCCTGGGACTTCAACCATACGAATCCTTGACACTGATGCAGCCGTTTAGGACGAATGTGCGCGGCGCGAGAGCAATAACCACATTTTGACAAAAAGAGCCGCCCTCCATCTTCAAAACTGCTACGAACTTTTAAAGCGAATTCGCGCGGCGCTAGGGCGAGAGCCACATTGTGAAATGGAACCGCTTTCTCTCTCTCTCTCTCTCTCTCTCCTTAAAACTGTTGCATGTTGCAACCGTGTAAGACAAATGTGCGCTAAGGCGAGAACCACATTTTGGAAACGAATTGCCCTCCATTCTTGGAGATGCTGCGATCTTTTGAAACGAATGTGCGCGGCGCCAAGGCGAGAGCCACATTTAGAAGAGCCGCCCTCCATTTGTGAAACGGAACAGTTGCAAATTCGAAGCTCCAGGATATCACATGGTGAGGAAGTCTCAGGCGATACGCCCGGCACGCCCTACCGACACGTTTGCGGGTGCGACAGCGAGGAATTATTTTTATGGAGAAGGGGTGGAGGAGGAGGAGGAAGAGGAAGGGGAGAATGAGGAGGGGGAGGCGGGGGAGGAGAAGGATAAGCAGCAGAAGGAGCAGCAGCAGTAGCACTAGCAGCAGCAGGAGGAAGATGAAGGGGGATGGAGGAGGAGGAGGAGGAAGAGGAGGAGGAGGAGGAGATCAAGCGCTCGGCTACCGGAGTTAGAGCGTCCGCCACGATTCCCCATCGCAGCGACAAGGGCGAAACCTGCGCCCTTATGCCTCCCGATCGCGAGCCTGCGCCGACAACGACGAAGCGGCATCCACGGCGTGGGCAGTGGCAAGCTGACGGATGACCTGCTCGCAAAATTTGGCCAAGGGGATCGGCGGCCTGAAAATCACTGGAGAGGTCTTCCCATTCTTGGGGTGCTGAAGGTTCAGAGTACGAGTCAAACGTGAGGCTGTCCCTTTTCAGTGGTCTCAACTCAGACTCTCCTGACAGGCCAGATCCGAGCTCTGTGTAGGAGCCACATGTTTTACAAATGATCAGGGTGATTGAACTATCAAGAGACTCGAGCCAGAGGAGATTGTGTCCTTTGGGGTTCCCGGCGAGGGCAGCCATAGCTCAGTATCCAGGACACTTCTCAATAGCTCGGGCGATCTGGTGGGCAGTGGATTAAGCACGTACTCGGCAGAGCGTGCGCATCCAGTGGCCACGAACACACTCCCAGTCATGAGCCGCTTCAGCCTGACTCTCCAGGACCCCGAATGGAAGCAGAGGAGGCGAAGGCGGAGGCGGAGCAGGGGGACGGTCCCCAGGGCTCCAGACGTGAGAGATGATGATGATGATGATGATGATGATGATGATGATGATGATGATGATGATGATGATGATGATGATGATGATGATGATGATGATGATGATGATGATGATGATGATGATGATGATGATGATGATGATGATGATGATGATGATGATGATGATGATGATGATGATGATGATGATGATGATGATAGCCTCCGCACGCTCGAGCCTTTTCAGAAATGGCACGGGGGCGGGGACAGCCGCAGGAGAGTGCCATGTGCGTTGCGGGCCCACGCTGAAGGCGGGCGCCACGGGCGTGGTGAGAGGCATGGCGCCGTCTCATCTCTTGCGGCTGATTGGCTTCAACCCGCTCTTCGCGTCCACGGCGACGCGACTGTCGGAGCTCGCCCTTGCAGCTCCGAATACGGACGCGATGATCCTGGTGGGCACGAAGGCTGCGTACAGGAGTGGCGGTGGCATTCTTAGACAGAGAGTGGAAGGCAGACTACTGGTGGAGGCGGGGTTCCAGCCAGGACCGTATACAAATCGACACGCAGGATGTGGTATTCTGCTGGGAAAAGGGATACAGAACAGACACATACGACGGACATGGGCATCGCCGATGGGAGCGGAAGGCCGCGCGCTGGCGATCAGGGTGAAGAGAGGCTGTATGGATGTGGTCTACGGGGCGCTTTACTTCCCTGTGCAGCCGACGAACAAGGATAATATAGGGGCTTACAACATGTGTGCCAAAGTTCTGACGCAATGGTGGAGACAGATATTCCAGGAACTACCACAACGTACATTGCCATGCTTCTTTGCGAACAGCAACGACGGCATCGGATTTTCCAAAGTGGATGGCGTTTGGCAGCGAATGCATTCAGAAGGACTGGGGGAAATAGGGACTCGAGAGCGACGCAGAGGAGGTGCAGGCGAACTGATCAGGCAAGTGTTGGACGAACAATACATGGCGGTGCCCTCCTCCTTTGGACACCGCGAGGAGCCCACATATTACGCGAGTGGACCAGACGGACGGCCAGGAGGATGCAGTACGATCGACTACTTCTATGTACCGCAGGGTACATGGAGAGAGTGGATAAAGTGCATGTGTTAAAAGACATGGGGAAACGTGTACAGGCCGTCAAGGGCGTCCCGCCGAAGGATCACTTGCCAATACTGATTGAGATCAGTTACCAGGAGCACATGAGCGAGCAGAGCACCCCCCAGGATAGAAAGAGATGCGACAGGACAGCCATGATGAACGCTATCACGCACGGAGTGGGAAAATCTGAGTTCCTCGCCGAGGTTGCGGAAGAGCTGGCAGCACGGGAGGATGAATTTCGGCAGCACTTGGAGGAGGGAACACCTGATAACTATTTCGAGCTGCTGGAGAGCATTTTGACGAACGTGGGCTACAAGCACTTCTCGATCACTGAGGAACGACGAGACAGACAAGAAGGAGCACGAGAACGACGTGAACTACTTCGGAAACGCGCGGAGATACGCGATGGACGACAGCATGCGGATGGCGCCGGCTTACTGGAAATCGGGACGAAGCTGAAGGAGCTATCGTCCAAGCTGAAGGCTCAGAGGCGCGCAGAGCAGGAGGCCATCAGGGAAGAGTATGTAAGTCTGGTTGAGGAGAGCTGGGAGCAGAGAAAGTTCGCGGACGCCATGAAGTATTCACGGTTGGCGGCGCGGTGTCGATTTGGAGCTAAGCATTGAGGCGGTCGACGGTTCGGACCCCTGCCTCTGGAGAGCGAAAAGTGGATGCAGCAGTGACGCAAACCAGGACGGGAAGGAGGTGCGGGGGCTGGAGCTCTGGATTGGGGGGAATGGCGACAACGACGAGCTGGGCTCCCAGCGCCACAGCAGGTTACGGCGCTGATGGAGGAGCAGGCAAACATGGGCGTGGGGCACATTGCCAGGTACGTGCGGAGGGCACCGAAGAGGAAGGAGGTCCCGCCCAACACGGCGCCTCTCGAGCTTTGGGACCTGACCCTGAACGCGGCAAAGGAGACTACCAGGCAGAAATTGGGACTGGGATGTGAGAAACAGAAAGGGGGCCAGGTGTTGTTCAGGAGCGTGCTCTTCCATGGGACTCTGCTGATGAGGGGAACCAACCTGGCCCCGCTGCACTGGCACCGAAGCAAGGCAGTCGGCTTGGACAAGCAGAACGGGAAGAAGGCGGCGGCGGGGCGCAGGGTCATCCATTGCTTGGCGAGCATTGGGAAGGCCTTCTACTCCAAAAGATTGACCTCCACCCCTTTCCCACAGAGCTATGGTCTCGTTAGGGGACGGCGACGCGATGGGGGCAATCATGGCATCTCAGGTACTCAGCTGGCGACTGGCACGGGGAGGCTGGAGCTTTGCCGTCACGACGAAGGGCCTCCAGAACGCGTTTGGCTCGGTGAGCTGGCAGGCGCTTGACCAGTCAGCAGAGGAGAACGCAAACAACCCGCAGGACGTGGACCTCTGCAAGCAGAGGCACAGGGACATGGTCGTGGACTTGCCGACGCCAGAGGGGGTGCACACGGTCAAGATTGGCGACGGATTGATGATGGGTGACCCCTTCAGCGTGGACGCCTTTGCCACCTCCTTTGCGGAGCCGACGGCAACATGGGCGGCGCGACTCAGAGAGACGCAGCCAACTGCGAACTTGGTCTGCGAGTGGGAGGATCTGCCTGACATCGACCTAGGGCTCCATCAGTACGCGGATGACTTCAGTAGGCACCACTTATTGGCGGTAGGCACGACGATGGGGGAACTTATGGACATGCTGAGAAGGGCGGACGACGAGCTCGACATGGCGCTGGGGGTGGTCGGCATGCGGCAGAACAGGGAGAAGCAGGTCACCGGCGTCCTGATCCAGGGCAAGGGCTCGGTTCCCTGCAAGAAGTGGCTGAAGCAGAAGGGGAAGGGAGTGGGGGGCATCCAGGGAGAGCTCAACGACGTGGCGCGATACCTGGGACCCCACATCACTCCCCAGTGCGCGGCAGAGTTCGAGATCCCGAGGAGATGTGAGGCGGCGAAGACGGCCTTCTACTCCATGGGTGCAGTCTGGAGCTTATCTACACCATGGAGATGGAAGCGAGTAGTATTTCAGGGGGCTGTGATGGGGGCGATCCTGTCGGGCATGGAGTGCTTCATTCTCTCCGATGCTCAGCGCCGACGGCTCGACCTACGCTTGGCGGGACTGGGGCGCATTGCGATGATGGGGGGGGGGGGGGGGGGGGGGGGCACCAAGGGGCTGGAGGGCGGCAGCGTGCAGAGCATGACGACTGAGCAGGTGCTGGCATACTGGAAGCTGACGGACGCGAAGACGGAGCTGCTGGTGCGCCGATTACGGTACCAGAGTTGGGCAACTAAG